AGACAAATTTTGTTACAAAGAAAACAATTTTAGGTTTAGGGAATATGTGAGAAAACTTTTTTCCCCCAAACCAGGGATGTTATTTTTTCGTTACAATTTTTAAAAAACCCAAGATGGAGGGAAACTTCCCCTCCCCCTCTTAAAAAATTTCAGATTTGCACATTGGGTCTTATACAAGCATTTTTGTTGACTTTTTTTTGGGGAAACTGTTTTCGAAAATTTGGTTTGTACGTAGTGACGCTGCTGACACAAGGCTGATTGTTTTAAAAAAAATTAAAATACTTCAACAAGAATTTTAAACTTTTTAACAAGGGTTTTTAAAAAAATTGGGGTAAAACCCAAAATTGAAAAAAAATATTAAATACTTACAAAAATTTGTAATCTGTCTTGTTTTATTAATTATGATTAAAAACTGAAAGAGTAATTAAATTTGCCCAAAATTCCCTACCCTGCTAAGCTTTTCCTAGGGGTAAAACTCTGTAATCAAATTTTTTATAAAAGTAAACCAAAACAAAAACCCAAATTTTCTGTAAATCGGCATTGTAATCCTTATAGAAAAAAAACTTTAAAATTTGAATTACTTAACCGGTAGTAATGGTGGTGGGAAAATCGCCCTTTGACGGGAAGATCAAATAGTGACGAGGTGACCCTTTTTTTTTCCCCAAAAAACCTCCCACCTTTTTAACCTAACCCCCACACTGTTACCCCCTTCCCCCCAGTTTCAACCTCACCCGAATGTTTTATTTTAAGGGGGCAATTTTGTAGAAATTTGGGCCCAAAAAATTGTCTAAAAAACAAGGTTTGGCTGGTAAAAAGGGCCCCTTTTTAATTTATTTTGCACCTTGAACATTATTCCTAGAGAGCAAAATTTGTAGCCCAGGGCTTCGTGTTCGTCACCTGCTTAAATTTTAAAATTACATTTGCTGGCCTTTAAAATTTTTTCGGTAGCTGGATTTGGGCGCGGTATGCTGCCTGGGTTTTTTTTTCAAAAACCCCTGATTTTATTTTTGGCTCTGAGGCCCTTTTTCAATTTCTGCTGGGGCTGCTTTTTTCCCTTTGTATCTCCCGTTTCTGTCTCGGATTTCGTAATGATTACCTTGTTTTTCTATTTTTTCTTAATTTACCTGGTTAATCTCAGTAAAATTTTTCTCTTTTCTTTCTTTAAACTTATCACTTTGTTGTTCACGGTATCTTTTTTCTGATGTGATGTGTAGCATCCCCTGGTTTTTCCCGTGCCAAGAATTTAAAGGTTGCTGTGCCCGAAAAAATTGTAATCAATGGTAGTAATACCTTTTTAGTCTTTGTATTGCACAAAAAAAAACCACTGGTTGGGGGAAACGTCGACAAATAAAGAAAGTCAATTTTTTACATATGTCTAATTTAACACTGGGGGCTGGTTTGTGCTTTCTCATTAAAATTCTCAAATAGTATCTCACCCCTCTTTCAATTTGCGTATTTTTTCCTTTGCAGCTCTAACCTTTTTTATGTTCTTTGCCGTCCTTTACTGTAAGTAGGGTTTTTTCCCTGCTTTTTGTTTTTTTTTTTTTTTTTTTTTGGCACTTCACAGTGGTTGAATCTTGGGGTTCTTTTTTTACCCTTTTTTCCACTTTTTTTTTTTTTAATTTTTCCCCTGCCAAACCCGGGCATTTCTCAGATATGATCTGGCTTTTTTTTTCCCCCCCCTGACTTTATTTCTCTGTACCAATGTACCTTGCTTCAGGGATTCCCCTTTTTGGGGGTTCCTGCATTGTTTTTGGGTTTACTCTCTTTTTCTTTGTTCCCTCTAAGTTCATTCCAAGAGTCTGTTTAAAAAATTTAAAAAGGGGTATGGGCACTTTATCACCTGTGGTTTTTAAAACTATTGTTTTTCAATTTTTCTCTCCCTGCGGTAAAAAACCACATATCCTATTACAACCCCCCACCACTATCACTACCCCAAACCCCCTCAAACCCCCCACAGCCACCAAACATTTTCCCCAAATTTCTACTCCAAAATCGTGCTACAGAATTCCTTTTAAAGCAATACGAATACAACCTCTAAATTCACCTTTTGAGAGGGGAGCCCCGAAAAGTCATTGGGAACATTAGTTTACACCAATTTTTTATGGTTTATTTTTTCTTTTTACTTTCCATGGGTCTTTAAACTTCATTAGTTCCCAAAAAACGATGGTGGCCTTTACGGTACTAGTCTCTGTTTTCTCAGCTAAATAGCAAAGCTCAAATACTACATGCATTAATTCTCATCCGACACACACACACACACACACACACACACACACACACACACACACACACACACACACACACACACCACACACACACACAAGTCTGAGGGGCTTTCAGGAAACTCAGTCATTCCCGGCGCTTTATATACATGCCAGGCCCATCTTGGAGTACGCAGCGCCAGTATGGAACCCACACTTGAGGAAGCAGGTTAAGAAACTGAAGAAATTGTAGAAATATGCAACGAGAGTAGTTCCAAAGCTACGGGGTATGAACTACGAAGAGAGGCTCAAGGAATTTAATCTAACAATCCTGGAGGACAGAAGGACCAGGGGCGACAAGAAAATAGAAAAAAACACGGACAGGAACAGGCTGTTTGAGAGGCGGGAAACAGGTACTCGGGGACATAGATAAGTCGCAGGGATGTATTTCTCAGTCTCAGGGTGGTTGAGAAATGGAGTAATGACCTCGACGAAGAAATGGTGGTGGCAGATTCCATGTATAGTTTTAAGTTTGTGTACAATACCGCACATGCGGCTAATATAAAGTGAATTGAGCAAGCGGCATTTATGTTTTCACAGATCAATTTTACAGGCTAAGAGCTGTTATCTTACCTTAGTTCATTGCAAAGTTCAGCATTGTCTAAGGTATGCTACCACACCCCAGAATACCACCTACAGCAGTCTACCAACACCCAGGTACCTGCTTACAGCCAAGTACCTGGGTGTTAGTAGAATACAGGCAGCAGGGAGAGGAGCCGAGACTCTACCCTTACAGCAACATATACATTGATGCATATAGGTGAGTGTTCACACACAACAGGCGAATTCGAAAAAATAATTTCTCTCAATATCTGTCTGTCTGTCTCTCTCTCTCTCTCTCTCTCTCTCTCTCTCTCTCTCTCTCTCTCTCTCTCTCTCTCTCTCTCACACACACACACACACACACACACACACACACACACACACTCTGAAGAGCCAGATAAAAATGTTCAGCACTATCAACGTGGAGAAAAATGTGTTACAACCCTTAGAATGGGTTTCAGCGAGAGGAAATAAAAGTAGCAACCACTGGATGTGGTTACAGTGGGAGGCATAAGTGGTACAACCCCTGGAATGGATTACAGTGGGAGGCATCAGTGGTACAACCCTTGGAATGGTTTACAGTGGGAGGCATCAGTGGTACAACCCCTGGAATGGATTACAGTCGGAGGCATCAGTGGGTACAATCCCTGGAATGGATTACAGTGGGAAGCATCAGTGGTACAACCCCTGGAATGGATTACAGTGGGAGGCATCAGTGGTACAACCCCTGGAATGGATTACAGTGGGAGGCATCAGTGGTATAACCCCTGGAATGGATTACAGTGGGAGGCATCAGTGGTACAACCCCTGGAATGGATTACAATGGGAGGCATCAGTGGTACAACCCCTGGAATGGATTACAATGGGAGGCATCAGTGGTACAACCCCTGGAAAGGATTATAGTGGGAGGAATCAGTGGTACAACCCCTGGAAAGGATTATAGTGGGAGGAATCAGTGGTACAACCCCTGGAAAAAGTAAAGGAGGTTAAAAAAATGCTAAAAGCATTAGAAATTAAAATAATAGACTGATACAGTACCGTAGACGGGATACCTCTAGGAAAGTTCTGTTCTTGTGGTTACAGGTGTATAAACAAATGGATGGAAAAGCGTACTGTTGACAGCAATAAACACAGGTATAAAGCAAGAGTTTATTACAACGTTTCGCTCTATCGACTTGATAAAAGCTCTACGAAGAACAAAACGTTGCTTTCCAAGCTTAGTGTGCACCTGTTCGTCAGTCAGGGAAATAGTTAACTTATTAAATAGGAAATTAGGCTATAAATAGGTTGGCAATTTGTCGCATGAATACAAGGATAAAAACTAGTGACTCTAGAGTGACCAGCTAGCGTACAGTGTGACCAGGTGTTGATAAATTAGACACATGTGCAACTCTTGGGTATCTTTATTGAGGAAACGTTTCGCCACACAGTGGCTTCATCAGTCCATACAAAGGAGAATCTTGAAGAACAGGAGGAGAATGAGGTAATCAGTCCCTCAACCTTGAGTCGATGTGGTCAGTCCATCAATCTTGAATAGAATACGGCATACGTGCTGAGAAGGAGCTTATAAACCGTTGCAGGAGAGGTGCAGCAGTCATAGGTCGTGTAACATTTGTTCAATGTTGAAGTAGGTCGTGCCCAAAATTAGGCAAGCGAAGAATTCCCAAGTATTAAGATCCCAAGAAGTTGCTGTGTCTGACAGGTTTGTAGATGAATGGTTCAGAGAACCGACCTACTTCAACATTGAACAAATGTTACACGACCTATGACTGCTGCACCTCTCCTGCCAACGGTTTATAAGCTCCTTCTCAGCACGTATGCCGTATTCTATTCAAGATTGATGGACTGACCACATCGACTCAAGGTTGAGGGACTGATTACCTCATTCTCCTCCTGTTCTTCAAGATTCTCCTTTGTATGGACTGATGAAGCCACTGTGTGGCGAAACGTTTCCTCAATAAAGATACCCAAGAGTTGCACATGTGTCTAATTTATCAACATGTCGGTTCTCTGAACCATTCATCTAGTGACCAGGTGTTGTTCAGTGACCAACTGGTGTGTAAAGGGACCAGCTGGCTTGCAAAGTGAGCAGCTGGCGCTGTTTCCGCAAGGTTGTGTCTGCTCCCGCGTCGGAGTTCATAGGTTTAAAATCTGTATCGTCTCCTAAAAACATTCATTTTTTTTCTGCCACAGTCACTGCGACTCGGGGAGGTGACGTCGTCATGGCTGACACTGGTGCCAGAGGCTGAGGACCACGGTGCCACCCTCACCTGCCGAGCCCACAACCCTAACATCCCCGTCCACGCTGCCACCACCTCCACAGCACTGCAGATTACCTGTGAGTAACATGCACTGTTGTGTTCCATCACCTGTGATGTCTGTCTCGCTGACACACCCTCCCTCGCTGACACACTTTCCCTCGCTGACACACCCTCGCTGACACACCTTCCCTCGCTGACACTCCCTCGTTGACACACACTCCCTCGCTGACACACCCTCGCTGACACACCCTCCCTCGCTGACACTCCTTCCCTCGCTGACACACCCTCGCTGACACACCCTCCCTCGCTGACACTCCCTCGTTGACACACACTCCCTCGCTGACACACCCTCGCTGACACACCCTCCCTCGCTGACACACCTTCCCTCGCTGACACACCCTCCCTCGCTGACACACCTTCCCTCGCTGACACACCCTCCCTCGCTGACACACCTTCCCTCGCTGACACACCTTCCCTCGTTGACACTCCCCCGCTGACACACCTCCCTCGCTGACCAACACCTTCCCTCGCTGACACACCCTCGCTGACACACCCTCGCTGACACACCTTCCCTCGCTGACACACCTTCGCTCGTTGACTCTCTCGCTGACACACCTTCCCTCGCTGACACACCTTCCCCGCTGACACACCTTCCCTCTTGACACACCCTCCCTCGCTGACACACCCTCCCTCGCTGAAAACACCCTCCCTCGCTGGACACACCTTCCCTCGCTGACACCACCTTCCCTCGCTGACACACCCTCCTTCGCTGACACACCCCCCTCCCTGACACACACTCGCCGGGCACCATCCCTCGCTGACACCCCACTCCCTCGTGACACACCTTCCCTCGCTGACACACCATCCCTCCCTGACACTCCCTCGCTGACACACACTCCCTTGCTGACACACCCTCCTTCGCTGACACACTCCCTCGCTGACACACCTTCCCTCGCTGACACACCCTCGCTGACACACACTCCCTCGCTGACATACCTTCCCTCGCTGACACCCTCGCTGACACACCCTCCCTCGCTGACACACACTCCCTCGCTGACACACCCTCCCTCGCTGACACTCCCTCGTTGACACACCCTCCCTCGGTGACACACACTCCCTCGCTGGCACTCTCTTCCTCGCTGACACACCTTCCCTCGCTGACACACCCTCTCCGCTGACAAACACCTTCCCTCCTGACACACCTTCCCTCGCTGACACACTCTCGCTTTACACACCTTCCCTCGCTGACACACCTTCCCTCGCTGACACACCCTCCCTCGCTGACACACCTTCCCTCGCTGACACACCTTCCCTCGTTGACACTCCCTCGCTGACACACCCTCCTTCGCTGACACACCCTCCCTCGCTGACACACCCTCCCTCGCTGACACACCCTCCCTCGCTGACACACCCTCCCTCGCTGACACACCCTCCCTCGCTGACATACCTTCCCTCGCTGACATACCCTCGCTGACATCCCTCAGTGAAAATCTAGCCCTGTATGTCAGTCCCCCCCCTTCCTCCCCTCATTATCTCTCACTTGTCTCACTGGTGTGAGAGAGAGATTATTCTTCAGTCGTAAAATTACACCAACACACCGCATTATACGAAGCCATTTAAACCTTGGTTTCCTTTTATTTACAAAGTACTGGAAATGTGTGCGTATTCAGGGAACTGAACATATTCCGTTTTATTCATGTTAAGCGCTAAACCCATGTGGGTCATTCAGCGCAAGACGTGGTGGAGGCTTGATCCTCTGTTTGCTGAACGCAAGACAGACGAGCTTCCTGCTGGTACTCACGTAGTCGTTCTCCGTCAATAACATCTTCACTCAGCTGAACGCAAGACAGACGAGCTTCCTGCTGGTACTCACGTAGTCGTTCTCCGTCAATAACATCTTCAACGTCAAGTGCACATTATCATTATCAGCTGGATACTGTAGTAACAAATTCAATCTATAGAAAATAATCACAAAGTAAAACTATTCAGAGTATTTATCTCACTCAAACCATAATTCGTTCCGTCTCAGCAGACGTAAGTATCAGCAAATTTAGACAAGGCAAAGTATCCCTGCCATTTGTGCCGAAAGAAATGCTGGGTTCTCACTCATTTAAACTTCCGATGGGGAGACTGGCACACCTCCTCCCAGAGACGAGGTTCTCATCCTTAGGAACACCCCACTTAAACTGCTCCAGCTGTTAAGGTGACCCAGCGTCTGGGGACTTTTAAAACTTTGTGTATAATGACGCTAAACTCAGAACACTCTCTTGATTAAAACACAATCACTTTCTGCCTTCACAGTAAAATCTCAGTTACTGTCTCGAACTCGATACGAGAAGTGCTGCCCACAGTAAAGAAGGAAAAAACACCGGTGAAAAGCAATATTTTGCTGCGACTGCATTTCGCTCTTAATAGAACTTTATCAAGTCGTATGTAAAGCCCTAAATCGATGACATAATAAAGCTTGCCACGTTTTTTAAGCTCCAGAAAATACTCGACTGTGGAGTTATCATTCAGTAATGTAAAACCAATACGTCCAACACCTCGGCAGATGAAAGATGGAAAATAAAATTGAATCCTTATCCATTCTAACTGATCCATTTGTTTTATTCGTAGTGCAGCTTTGCATCGGTAGAGGTCGTATAACGCTTGTGGTATGGGAAGTAAGTTATCAAGGTGGCTCCCTTCAAGTTGGCTCCCTTCAAGTTGGCTCCCTTCAAGTTGGCTCCCTTCAAGTTGGCTCCCTTCAAGTTGGCTCCCTTCAAGTTGGCGCCCTTCAAGTTGGCGCCCTTCAAGTTGGCTCCCTTCAAGTTGGCTCCCTTCAAGTTGGCTCCCTTCAAGTTGGCTCCCTTCACGTTGGCTCCCTTCACGTTGGCTCCCTTCAAATGAAAGTTATCTCGTTGCTGGCGAAGAGCAAGATGGTCTGAGAAATTACACCTACCTTCCCTTCTCTCAGAATAAACCAGGTCGCCTTTCATTCTCCAAGTGCTCTAATTCTCACGGATTTAGTGCTTTCCCCTGAATATAATAATGGAATTGGTGTAACTTGCGAGACATTTGCCGTGTGTGGCTATGACTAGGATGCGAGGAGAACGAGTTAGTCTTTCACACGTAGCCTACGAGATTTTAAAAGAAAAAAACTATTCAACTTATTCCATGGCGTCATATTATGCTTTATATATATTGTGTGTGTGTGTGGTGCCGAATAGGTAAAACTTGCAATTTTGGCTTAAATAGCAACGCTCTTCTTGCTGAATAAGGCAAGCCAAAATTTGTGTATGCAATAATTTCGCAAAAATTATTCTGAACCTGACGAAAGGTATATATTTCACTGTTTATTATTAAATTATTGTAACTTATCTAAAATATATATAGTTGGATTAGGTTAAATTAAATTGCGCCGATTATAATAAGGTTAGGTAAGTTTTCTAAGGTTCTTTGGGTACAAAATTATTAAGTTTTACATTAGAGTAAATGGAAAAAATATATCTTTAAACATGTAAGAGAAAATTTTAGAAAGGACTTTATTTTAAATGAATTCTTGCTAATTGACCAGTTTTACATATTCGGCACGACATATATATATATATATATATATATATATATATATATATATATATATATATATATATATATATATATTATTTATTTATTTATTTATTTATTTATTTATTTATTTATTAACATATCGGCCGATTCCCACCAATGCTGGGTGGCCCAAAAAAGAAAAACTTTCACTCCATCACTGTCTTGCCAGAGAGGTGCTTTACAGCTATAAATCTGCAACATTAACACCCCTCCTTCAGAGTGCAGGCACTGTACTTCCCATCTCCAGGACTCAAGTCCGGCCTGCCAGTTTCCCTGAACCCCTTCATAAATGTTACTTTGCTCACACTCCAACAGCACGTCAAGTATTAAAAACCATTTGTCTAAATTTACTCATATCAAATACGCTCACGCATACCCGCTGGAAGTCCAAGCCTCTCACACACAAAACCTCCTTTAACCCCTCCCTCCAACCCTTCCTAGGCCTACCCCTTCCTCGCCTTCCCTGCACTACAGATTTATACACTCTCGAAGTCATTCTGTTTTGTTCCAATCTCTACATGTCCGAACCACCTCAACAACCCCTCCTCAGCCCTCTGGATAATAGTTTTTGGTAGTCCCACACCTTCTCCTAATTTCCGAACTACGAATTCTCTGCATTATATTCACACCACACATTGCCCTCAGACATGACATCTCCACTACCTCCAGCCTTCTCGCTGCAACATTCATCACCCATGCTTCACACCCATATAAGAGCATTGGTAAAACTATACTCTCATACATTCCCCTCTTTGCCTCCAAGGACAAAGTTCTTTGTCTCCACAGACTCCTAAGTGCACCACTCACTCTTTTCCCCGTATCAATTCTGTGATTCACCTCATCCTTCATAGACCCATCCGCTGACACGTCCACTTCCAAATATCTGAATACATTCACCTCCTCCATACTCTCTCCATCCAATCTGATATCTAGTCTTTCTTCACTTAATCTTTTTGTTATCCTCATAACCTTACTCATTGCTATATTCACTTTTAATTTTCTTCTTTTGCACATCCTACCAAATTCATCCACCAATCTCTGCAACTTCTCTTCAGAATCTCCCAAGAGCACAGTGTCATCAGCAAAGAGCCACTGTGACAACTCTCACTTTATGTTCGATTCTTTATCTTTTAACTCCACACCTCTTGAAAAAGACCCTATCATTCACTTCTCTTACAACCCCATCTTTAAATATATTGAACAACCACGGTGACATCACACATCCTTGTCTAAGGCCTACTTTTACTGGGAAATAATCTCCCTCTCTCCTACATACTCTAACCTGAACATCACTATCCTCGTAAAAACTCTTCACTGCTTTCAGTAACTTACCTCCTATACCATACACCTGCAACATCTGTCACATTGCCCCCCTATCCACCCTGTCATATTCCTTTTCTAAATCCATAAATGCCACAGAAACCTCTTTACCCTTATCTAAATACTCTTCACCTATACGTTTCACTGTAAACACCTGGTCCACACACCC